AGACTAAATCACCAGCAGTTAGTTGGGCCATCCTGTAGCAGGCCCATAACTCCGCAAGGGGCACAGTTTGCTTGAACGTGGGAAGGGGCCCTTTGGCCCAGGCCAGGAGTTCCCCGTTACAGAAAATAGCTCCTCCCCAGCCACACCGCCTGATCCTAGGGTCCGCAGAGAACAGGCCACCAGACCCATCTCCTCCAAGGTAGGCTCCTGGGGGAAGGACAAACTTCTCGCCTTGAAGCTCAGGGGAAAGGGTTTCCACCCCTTGAATCTCCAAATGTCTAATGTTGAAAGTCCAGGCTAAGGGCGCGAGGCCCCTGAGCCAGAAGCATGGTTCATCTTTCCACTCCTGGCGCGCCTGAGACAAATGTTCCCAGTGTAGCCCCTCTTGTGGGAGCTCGAAATTGCACTTGCATTCCCAGATTTGGTGGAAAAGCGTTTCTTCGCACTCGTGGCATCGGGGGCACAGCGAAGAATTCCAAGCCGCGACACTCGCTGGCTCTTGAATCGTGGCCTGCTCGGCCAACTCTTCAGGTGGTTCCTCCCCCCCCCCATCCGACGGAAACTCCTCCTCCTCCATGTGGCCCCCTGCGGGGTCGTCCAAAGAGGTAGCGGCCTGCGGGGGCTGAGGAGGGACATTGGAGGAAGAAGAAGCACTAGCAGCAGCAGGCTCGGCAGCCGCAGCGGCAGGCAGCTCAGCAGGAGGATCAATCTTAATGCCCCCGCGGCTCTCACTACCGAATCTCCTAGCTGCTGGCCACAAAGCTCCTGTTGCAATCATGCGGAGCACCTCCGCTCTGTCGTACGCTTTCTTTCTGGCTAGCGTGTTGAGGTGTCTCTTCAAAATGGTGAGATCTACTCCATCCTGGGCCCCTCTACCATAAACATGCGAATCAGAGGCACGAATCCAACACTCATGGTCTAGTGCCTGCTTAATTTCGAAATTGAGAAGATGATCCCTGTCGAGCTCAAGAATATTCAAGACTTCACCTCTGGGCGTCCTCCAGGCAACAGGTCCTAAGGGTTCCCAGTGGAGGTCAAGCAGACTAGCCACGACAGCGCTTATAAGACCTTTGACACGAGCCCAGGGTCTGACACCTTCCTGCAAGTGAGCAACTGTTTTGCGCCAGACGATCTCGATGGCTCGCATCTTCTCAGGCATGTGAGATAAAATTTCCAGCCATGAAGCGAAAATCTGCATCCGTCCATGGATCATTGGATCATCAGCTTCAGTGAACCCTAGTCTTATGCAAGTGGTAGGGCATCCTCCTGGCTTCTTGTAACCAGAGAGGGCTGCCACCGAAGTTCGAAGCGATAAAAGAGTTGTCGGACTGAGGCCTTGGGCCATCTGTCCATACGTCACTGCTGGACGGTACCCCGTCTTAGCGAGGACTCGAGCTTGGGGCACAGATTTGACTAGCTTGGTGATCTGGACAGCACGCTTTTGTCCCTTGGCAAGGCGATCTTTGATGACCGCTGTGGAACGCCTGGCCGTGTGGCCGTCAATCCCCAGGTCCCGAACGTGTGTTGGGCACTTGAGGGGCACTCCAGCGTCAGCAAGAGCTCTCGAAATCTCCTTCGCGAGGCGAGGGGGGTAGGTGAGGATCGCCGACTTGTCAGACACCTTGAAACCAGCCCTACCAAGACGTGCTGTTAAAGGAAATTGAAATTGACTTCGTACGCGTGATGACGTCGGCTTCTCGGCCAATTTCGACTTGTCCCAAGTCGTCCACCCACGTGGAGAGATCTAGAGGTCTATAGTCTGCATGCATCGATTCGAGCACCTGCCACAGTGAAAGCTTGGCTAGATCTACACTTTGATTGCACCCTGCAATCAGGGAGCGGTCTGGACAGATCAGTTTTGAAACCACTCCTTCAGCACGCAGCCTCCTCGGTCCCCGGTGGATGGCCAAGCCGAGCGCAAGCACTGGAAGGGGATAGCCAACCCCTTTGGCCACATTGGCCACCTGAAAAAGTCGAACGTGATCGTAAAACTTGCCGACGTCCCAGAGAACCTCAGCCCAGGAAAAGCCTTGGGAAGTGGCCATTTCTAGTTTACACTGACGGATGAGGGCCGCTCGCAAAGAGGAGCTGCCTTTGACCACATTGTCCCAGTGCTGGGTCCGCTGGGCGCTCCAATCAGCAATCTCCCACCTCCGAGTCCTCCCCCACGTCCGATACAAGCCCTGAGTCAGGGTGATTGGCCGATCAGCCACCTGACTCTTGTGGATTAATTGAACTATGTTGAGGAAGATCTGAGGTGGCCAAGTGCCTGCTCTCTCAATTGATTGGAGAAGTGCTAGAAGATCCTCCAGACCTTCTTTCGGAAGACGGCGCCACCAATTCGGGTTCTGCTGATCAGCCCCGACTCCTACGACTCCTTTGAAAGACTTTAGGGCTCCTAAAAGCTGCTGCATGGTGAGTTCATCCAGAGGCTCCCTACTGGCCTCCCGAACGAAGTCCTCCCACCACCCAGCGGGACCTTCAAAAGCCCCCGAGCACCACAGGGTCTCCCAAAACTGAGCCTTCTGGTCAATGGCCTCAATGGGGTCCCTTATGGTGCTACCGTCGGGGCGCTTCTCAGGGGCGAGGTCGGGAATTTCCCCTCCCCACGTTTTTGTCCAAGCATGGAGCGCGCCAGCGCCTTTGCTTAAAGATGTGCGAATCCAGTCTTTAAAACTTTTCTGCTTGGATCTAACAAGGTAGAGCTCAACATTTTTCACCGTGCGACCGAGATTTTTGAGCTCTCTCTTGCATCGATCTATTTGCTTGAAAGTGGCAAGCTGAGCGGTCAGGCGAAGCGTTCTTTCTTCTCTCTCATTGGACAAAAACCTAGTAAGAGACCAGACTTTGGCTAAACAGGACTCTACTGCCTGCCAGGCCTTCTCGATCTCCTCTGGGTGCTTCAGCTTCTCCCGCAAGTGTAGCCAGTCTGCTGCTCGAGCGTAAAGCGCTGCCCAAGCACTCAGGCCACTATATTCCGCTTGCCACCCCATCGTCGTAGTAGGAACCACAGGAACTTCCACAACTTCCACTGCCCAGCCCCGGTGCTGCGCGCTGTCGTTGAAGTCCAGATCGGGATTCCTGTGCGTGCAAAAGCTTTCTGCTGCCAAGGCGAACTTCATGTACTGCTGGGCCAAATCGTAGTTAGGCTTGCCACTGCAGTGCCTTTCACCCATGGAATGGATATTCGCCTGAAGCTTGTTCATGCCTTCTTGAATCTGCGGCTCAACTCTGACTGAGTGCCATTCCCAAGGTAAGTCTGGTCCAGGCAAACTCATGTCGATGGTAAGGCAAGGACTGAACACACGCTTGGGCATGGTGAACTCGCCAACTCTGAGCTTGAGCCGAATACCTGAATGCGGTGCCCCCCATGGCCCTTCACTGTCCCACGTGAGGTCCACTAGATTGTGAAGGTGGTGACTTACTAGGCAAAAATCAATGAGTCTGTGTCCACCTGGTACTGCTTCCTGGGGTCCTTTCCATCCTCCTCTGAGGAATACTTGAAGCCCTGATTGCTGCATTTCAGCGATTGTGTTGTTCCAATCTCCAACAATAATGTATGGCTTACCCTGCACTTTGAGATAGTTGCCAACCTCATCTAGAATCTGAAAGTTAGATCCAGAAATCCCAAGATGTGGGGCCAAATAAACGGCGACGAAAATGATGTCCACCCGCTGCATCCTGACCGTTGTCGCGCACCATTGACTAATCTGATTGATCCCAGTCTGTTCTGTGATGCATAGGCGGTCCTTCAAGATGAGCGGATCATGCCAAAGGTGTTTACGTGTGAGAATTGCAATGCCTCCATGTCCTTGAAGGCCGCCTCCTGCCGTGTCCACCGCAGGAGTAGCGTTGGTTTTCCAGCCAAGCTTCGCCACGTGCTTCGTAGTTTGAATAAGCTTGGCATTCCGAAGATGAGTCTCGACAAAGAGAATTACTTTAGCCATTTCGAGTGGACCACCAGGTTTATTGAAATAATCGAAAGTCTTGTCGTTCCATGAAGTAATGTTCGCGAAATAGAAGTCAAACGAGTCTGACTGTGACAACTCCTTCTGCGTCGAGGGAGATGATGTTTGCGAGCCTGTGGGCTTTCCTCGGTCGTCTCCAGTGGGTCTCGCTCCGTGGGGGCTGCAGTGAGCCTCGCGCCACGGGGCCACCACCTTCTCAGACGCGCCAGAGGAAGCCCAAGAGGATGAAGTAGCCTCCCTCGAAGGAAATGTGGCCCAGCGCGCACTTGTGGGCTCACCTCCGAGGTCTCCAGTGGGACTCGCTCCGTGGGGACTGCTATGAGCCGCGCGCCACGGGGTCACCACCTTCTCAGACACTGGAAGGGATCCCAGAATCGCCCGCAGAGAAGATGGAGTTGCCCTCGAAGCTGTCGTCGCAGTACAGCCCCCTGGTATGCCGAATTGTTCATCAAAGACGCTTGTCGACTGTCCCTGGTGGCGGCGATCGGCTTCGAAAGTCGGCCCTCCTGAGCCGCTCCATACCAGCCTGGATGAAGCGTTCACGCTGCTGCTCCTGACTGTCAAGACTTGGATCATCAGCCCGAGCAGACACTGCAGCCATGCCAACGTCTTGGGAGGTCGGCTGGCCTGTTTCCACAGGCGCCTGGGCCTGCGAAAGTGGTGCGACGGCGCCTCCTGTGGCTGCTGCAGGGGTTCCAGCTCCCTCTGCGGCGCCTGCAGCAGGAGGGGCTCCCGTTGCCGCGGTGGCTGGCTGAGAGCCCATGGCCGAGAAAGCCGCTCCAAGCGTGGATTTGAACTGCCCCACACTCTCTTCGAGCTTCTTCTTCCTCGCCTCAACCCCGTCGGCACTTGCGAGCCCTTCGGCGAAGGAAGCCAAGAACTGTGTGAGCTGCTCGTCCATGCCCTGGATGGCCGCCTGCGCCTGCGCCGATGGGCTGCCCACCAAGGCCTTGGCTGCCTCAGCCTTGGCCGTCTCGAGCTGGGCCTTGGTCTCCAAGAGCTGTGTTTGAGTTTCTCCCACTGCCTGGAGTGCCCGACGAGCTGCCTCGAGCTGTCGTTCTTCTTTCCGTTGCAATTCGACAAGCTTGTGTTGAAGAGACTGAACGCCCTTAGGAACCTCAACTCCGAGTGGAATCCCTTGCCCTGCTGCCTTGAGCCTCCTCGCATGAATGAGCTTGTCCCGCTGACTTTGAGAGAGTCGGACTGACAGTGAGAAGAATGTGCTCTCGTCCATGCCGATCCAATGTGCCTTTTCTTCGTCTGAAAGTGGTTGTGTGTCACCCCACCCTTGCCGAGACTGAGCCCAACCTTCCTGACTGGCTTGCTGGACCCATGGAGAGCGAAGAAAGCGACGCGGCTTCTGTGCCATCCACGGAGGAGGTCCGACATGCGGCGGGCTCGGCGGCGTGGGGGGCGGGCCGTATCCCCACTGCCCCCTTGGCTGTGGTGGCGTCGCCGCTTGCGGTTGCCTCCCATTGGGATTGAAGGCTCCACACCCGTAGCACTTGGCGCGGTTGCCATTGTTCCACGTGTGACAAGAGCGACAACCCCAGCCTGGCATGGATAAAATCGTTCGTGTGCAAGAGGCCGCAGCCGTGAGGGATGAAACCTCAGTACGGTATGCGGACTCCTTGAGACCGTTGAAAGCTGTTGGGGCCGTGACTCCCCTTGCCACAAAACCTCAGTCCTCTTGAGCAATGCCTCCGGACTTGAGCCAAAATGGCTACGGACCTCCCCTCCACCTCCTCCTCCTCCTCCTCCTCCTCCTCCTCCTCCTCCTCCTCCTCCTCCTCCTCCTCCTCCTCCTCCTCCTCCTCCTCCTCCTCCTCCCCTCTCCTCCTCCTCCTCCTCCTCCTCCTCCTCCTCCTCCTCCTCCTCCTCCTCCTCCTCCTCCCCCTCCTCCTCCTCCTCCTCCTCCTCCTCTTCCTCCTCTTCCTCCTCCTCCTCCCCCTCGTGTGCGTCCGACGGCTGTTCGCGCCACGGCCGGGGTGCCCCTCTCCCTCCCGCCGTGCTCGTCCGATGGCGAGGATGGCCCGAGATGGCCTCCAGGTCGCCCGAGATGGTCCGAGGTGGCCTCCAAGACGGCCCTCGAGGGTCCCAGCTGTCGCCAAGCTCAAGAAGCCACCCAGACGGCCAAAGATGGCCCACAAGAGGCCCACGAGAGGCCTTCAGGACGGCCCAGGTGGACTCCAAGAGGTCCTCCAGGAAGGCCCGAAGAGGCCCAAAGCACTGATAATCCGTAGGTTTGAAGGATGTTGGTGGCATTTGCTTCTTTTCTGCACTCCGAAGGCCCAAGATTGCCCCAAGATCTCCCAAGAGGCCTCCAAGATGGCCCCAGGACGGCCCAAGAGGCTCCCAAGACAGGGGCCCCAAGGCAGCCCAAGAGGCCTCGAAGAAGCCCAAGATGTCCTCCGAGACAGGCTTGCAGGAGGGCCCCAAGTCGGGTCAGAGAAGCATCCAACACGGCTTCCGACAGCGTCAGACGGGCCCGGAATGCCTTAAGATTGCCAAAGCGGCCCCGAACAGGCCTCCAAGAAGCTCCAAGGAGGCCCCGAAGAGGCCTCCAAGAGGCCCCCAGGAAGCTCCCAGGAGACCCCAAGAGTACCCCACGAGGAGACCAAGAGGCGCCATCCTTCTTCTTCTCCTCCTCCTCCTCCTCCTCCCCCTCCTCCTCCTCCTCCCTTTTCCTTGTTCTCCTCATTATCTTCTTCCTCACGTGTTCCCCAAAAGGCTTCAGTGACAGCTGGGGAAACACAGGGTCCGATAGCTCTAGCCCAACTTCTGGCCACACAGGTGCTTCCAGAAAGGGCGGGGGCGGCGGTGATTCGTCGTAGGCGTCTTCGATCCGCCGCCCCATCTGGCTTGCCAAGGTGTGCACGGCGTGCCGAACGTCTGGCAAATTTTCGGTTCTTGTCCGAAGAGCTCTTGGTGGGGACTCAGTCCAGCCCGCCGGCCACTCAGCATACCCCTGGGTCATCAGGATTCGGCTCCTGGAGGGCCTCCGAGACGGCAACGATGGCACAAGATGGCCCCCAGAGTTCCCAAGATGCCTCCAAGACTGCCAAGATGGCCCCAAGAGAGCCCACGATGGCGCCAAGATGTCTTCAAGACGACTCAGGATGCACCCAAGACGGTCTAAGATGGCCTCAAGATGGCCTAAGACGGCCCAAGAGGAAGGCCCCAAGAGGCCTACACGACGGCCCAAGAGGCCTCCAAGAGGATCGACAGAAAGGCCCGCAGAGGTCAAACACTTTACTTGTCCTTGGGTGTTCCAAACATTTGGGTTTCTGCTCCGTTTCGGGCTCCGACGGCCTAAGACGGCCCAAGAGAGTCCCATCAGAATCGCCCCAAGAGCGCCCAAGAGGCCTCCAAGATGGCCCCAGACCAGCCCAAGAGGCTCCAAGACGCCCAACATGGCCTTCAAAACGACCCTGAAGCGCCCCAAGACGGCCAAGAGAGGCTCCAAAGACGGCTTCAGACGGCATGCGACAAGCCAGGAGAGCCGTAAGACGGCCAATGAGGCCCCCAAGAAGCCATCAAAGGCCCCCAAGAGGCCAAGAAAGCCTCCAAGAGGCCTCCAAGAGGCCCTCAGAAAGCTCCCAGGAGGCCCCAGGAATGGCCAACAAAAACTCCGAAGAGGTCTCCTCATCCTTCTCCTGATCCTCCGGTTGCATCCCTATCCTCATCCTCCTCTTCCTGCTCACGTGCTCCCCCACGTGTTCCCCGACGGGCTTCCCCAACAGCTGGGGCAACGCATGGTCCAACAGCGTGGCCCAACTGTCCCCAAACGTTTGGCCACATAGGCGTATCTAAAAAGGCCGCGGGCAGCGGTGATTCGCCGTGGGCATCTTCGATAACAGAAAACAACACATGGCTCGGCTCGACATGCTGCAGGTGGGCTTAGCAAGTATATTAGATGCATCGTATCGGCTATATCTTGAAGCTAGAAGGCGAATGGTACAAGTGAGCATACAATCAACCTGAAATCGCAGAACGCTGGGCTGCGCAATGACGGCATATACCATACGTGCCGGGGACGGTGCACAACAATACATGCTGAGCACATCGCGTTGTAGGACAGTTATTATGAGCGAACTTGGCAAGCAAGACATGCTGGATGAGGCAGTCAGTCAAGGAAGGCCGCAACATCACACTGAATAGGTTTTGCAGGGCCGTCACAACACGAGAGCAAGACGAGCTCCTTGGATCGGCGGGCAAGTCACGCAAGATGAGCTAGCAACATATATGCATCCACAGACGTACAGCGGGGACTCGACCACCAGAAACCTTATACAAGAAACCCAATCCTGAGACACCAAGACGTCCATCGATTTGGGTTGTGGGAACGTCACGCTGCCCATAGCAAAGCCATCGAAACCCAAGAAACCCAGGGCACAATGGAGGCAAGCAAGGGACTTCTCGGCATGGCTGTCCACTGCATGCTCAGCTTCTGTGTCTCGCCCTTCCCAGCCTGCCGCGCGCTTTGGACCACCAGCGCCGAACCAGAATCGTTTGGCACGCGGCAAATGCTGCATGCACGAGCAGGCAGACTGAGTGAACGAGAAGGCAGCTGCAACACATAGGTTGCCCACGCAGCGCGCGGAAGTGAACAACCGATGCGCATGTCCGTACTGCTCTGCCCGCCGAGCCCGCCTTCCGGGAGGACGAGGCCATCTCTGGGGGGACAAAGGTTTTTTGTCAGCGATCTCCTGGGGGCCTGAACGATTTGTACACCACATCGGCACAGGTGGCCGATGACGACCAGCCCTCAGCCGCTGAGCGCAGTAAACCTAACAGATCGGCGACCGAGGGAGATGATGGTACGGATGGGAGCACATTGGCAATCGGCCGCGGAACAACAACAGACCCGGTTCCAGGATGCCGTTCTTCTTGAGCTGCTTGCGAGCGTCCTTGATCAACTGCTTCTCGTCGACTGGTTTCCTGCCCGAGGTCGGCTGCAACCGTGGGGCAATTGACAGAACGACAACCCGAGCACACGTTGCGCTTGAGGCGGCCCAATCGTCGTCAGACAAATTGTGAGGACCCCGTCGCTCAGAACCCCCAACACATCACTACGGCACCCCACGTGGCCGCAGAGAAAGAACATGCACCTGGATAGCCACATTATGTGAGCGCACGTGCACCCAAGGGCACTGCGAAGCACACGAGCAAGAACTTACGCAACTACACACGGAGCTTCACAGACACGCGCGCGCAACAACCCACGCACACCTGCAAGCCAACACTTGCGCAAAAAAAACACCGACGCATGATAAACCACGGGTGCACATGCTTACGCGAACAAGACGCATTCGCAACAACATGGAGGGAAACGGGGCGCATCGGATCAGAAAGCTCCGCCGCCATGTGCAAGGTGGCACGCAAAGAAAGCAGCGGCGGCTGGCGCCACCGAGACACGCGCTTCCGCTTGCGCCACCGCATGCCTACGACAGACACGCTGCAGTGTGCTGGCTAAGGAGACAACAAAAAGAAGAACACGTACCCACTGCCACACTCATACACACACACACACACACTGTTCGGAACTGGCGTTCAAGCATATTGCTGACGGGGTGTGCCTCAATTCGCCAGCCCAACGGGCCAAAGACGTGATAGAAGATCCGGGAAAAGGTGCCGAATCCAACCAGCCCAGGCGTGAGTAGTCTAGCGAGTTTCCTATTCCAAACACCTTCATCCCCGTTTGGGGAGGTGGGTCCTCCCCCCCTCCCCCCTCCCCCTGGATCTGGAGGGGGGGGCGGCGAGGCGTTGGAGCGTCCAAGATGGCCTCGGCGAGAAGGCCAAAAACATTGATATGACGTCGGCTTTGGGCCAACTTAGGCCTTCTTGGGGGGGGACGCTAATTGTGTAATTACCCCCCCCTTCTTTAATCGATCACCTCCAAGATGGCCCCCGAGGCTCCCGAGAGCGCCCCAAGAGTGCCCTAAGAGTCGCCCAGGAGGCCCCAAGAGACCCCCCAGACGTCCCCAATATGCCCCCAACAGGCTCCCAAGCGACCCCGAAGAGGCCCCACGAGGACCCCACGAGGCACACAAGACGCTTCAAGAATCTTACAAGAAGCTCTCGAGACATCCGAAGAGACTCCGAGAAGCATCCAAGAGGACTATGGCCCCTATGGCCTTCCTATTCGCCCTCCTCCTCCTCCTCCTCCTCCTCTTCCTCATACGCCTATTCCTCATCCTCCCTCCTCCCATCTCCCCTCCTCTCTCCACAATTACACAATATGAAAATACTGTCCCACTTCCCCTGATGGCGTCCCGAAGATGGCCGACCCCCCCCGCGTACTGTTTTTTTACACACAGGATTCCCGGGAAACTGGTTTTCGCCTGCGTTTTTTTTAATGATGCTCTCGCTGAGGCGCCGGCCTCATTTCTGCTCCCGAATCGTTCCGAATCGTGCTCCCGCTGCAGCGTGGGCCTCATTTTCGGATCGGTGTTTGGCCTCCGTCGTTCAGGATGGCGTTCTCGCCCCAGCGCGGGCCTGCTTTCTGCGCGCGCCCATCCGCCCCTGCCACCACCGCGCCGCACCACCACCACCAGCGCACCCACAATCTCGCACCACTTCCACCAGTGCACATCACGCCGACCACCACCACCACCAGCACCAGCACCACCACCACCACCACCACAACCACGCACACACGCACGCACGCACGCACGCGCACCACCACCCACTACGCACGCGCGCGCGGAGCCACAGGTCCGCTACGACACGCGTCCGCGGAAAGAGAAAATCAGCGCCATGGTAAGGGATGGGAGGGAGGGGTAGGACGTCAGATATGACGCGAGCGCACCTAGCTTGCCTCCACCTCCTCCTCCTCCTCCTCCTCCTCCTCCTCCGCTTCCTCCTCTATCCTCCCGCTCTGGGGTATGACGGCTTCCTGGCCTTTGTTCCACTGCGTGCTTCTTATTCCTGATCAGGGGAACTCGCCTTGGCAGCGTTTCGGGATGGGCCAGTGGGGTTACGTGACGCGCCTACAACTGTGTATGCGTGCTAGGCCCCCTGGCCGAGGGTCTTGAAAAGGAAAATGCCTGGCAACCATCGCGAGGACCAGGACCGTTCCGGGACCGTCCCTGGACCGTCGGAGCGAGAGAGGAAGGCACAAGAGTCAGGTCGGGCATGACCTCCTACAGGCGGGTTTTGGAAGCAGAAGCAGACATAATCAAAAACAGTCGAGGACAATCGTCACCAGACTATTGCTTCACCGTTCTGGGATACTCCTTCCGTCGAGGGACGTGCCCGACGTCGAGCAAGGGGAGGGGACGGGGCGAGGGGAGGAGGGCAGCAGTAGCCGAGGGGGAGCGGGAGGGAGGAGGCTGCGCAGGGATCGGGAGGGCACGGGGAGCGGAGCGAGAAGGGGAGGGAGGGGGAGGGAGGTGGCCGGAGGCACGAGGGGGAGAGGGGGGGAGGGGAGGGGAGGGGGAGGAGATGGGAGCAAGAGGGGGAGCAAGAAGGGGAGGGGGGGGAGCATGAAGGGGAGGGAGCAGGATGGGAGGGGAGCAAGAAGGGGAGGGGAGAGGAAGGGGGGCACGGGGAGGGGTAGCAGGAAGGGGAGAGAGGTGGCAGGGGAGGCACGAGGGGGAGGGGGAAGGATTGTTTGACCTCGCCGGCCTCACCGCAGGAGCCCCTTTAGTGAGACTGCACAGCGCATCCGTGGGCAGTGCGCTGAGTGGACGGAGCCGTGCAGCAGGCGCAGGGGCGCCGAGGCGCGCACTCGGCGAGGGCGCCGAGAGCACCCTGGCGGCGGCAGCGGGCTGGGACAGCAGAGGCATCCGTCAGCTGCACTGGACATCGACCTCAACTGAGAGGGGGAGGGGGGGGGGGAGGGAAGAGGGAGGGGGAGGAGGGAGGGGGAGGGAGGGGGAGAGAGGGGAAGAGGGAGGGAGGGGGAGGGAGGGGAAGAGGGGGAAGGAGGGGGGAGGGAGGGAGGTGAAGAGGGGAGGGAGGGGAAGAGGGGAAGGGAGGGGAGGGAGGGGGAGGGAGGGGAATGAGGGGGACAAGGAGGAGGCGGAGGCGAGCCCTCCGTGCCCCCAGGAGCCCCAGCCCTCCACGGCACGATGAGGTTGTTCTCCTTCACCACTCCACCTGGCAGCGATGTGGTAGGAGGAGGGCCAGGGAGTGCGAGTGTACACCGGGGCTCGGTGCACAGACGCGACGACTCCACAACATGCGGGATGCTGGGGCGTCTGTACGCTGGACTCCTGCACCTGGTACATCGGCTCCATGGCCGACCAAGCGTGCCTTACACCCAAACATCCGACGACGCGATTCGTTCTACAGTCGAGTTTGGTTGGAGAGGACACGCGAGTGGACACGAGACTTTTCCGAGGGACACAGTGACATAGGAATGTAGCAGGCATGGGTCGCCAAACGCAAGACACGAAGGTACCCTTGATTTGGAAGGGCTGACCCACTAATCAATCTCGACCGTAAAACTCGGGGGCGTTCAACAGGGGGGCGTCCAAGAGGAGGGGGGTGCAAATCATGGCTCGAGGCATAGGCGCGGCCAAGGGG